AAAATTTTGTTAACAGACTCTAACACGACTGACTCTAAGGCAACTCCATGAGGTGGTCCCAAAGCTTGATCCGGTGTGTCCAGCAAGTATATTCCGTTCGCCTCATGGCCACTCCCAATCATCCTCTGAGACTGCAGGTCCTGAAAAACACAATGAGTGGGAAAGAAGGTTATGCTGCAATTCATGGACTTTGTTAAGCTACTAACAGATAAGAGGTTTGTGTTAAGCTTAGCGACATGAAGAACAAAAGATAAGAACAGGGTGTCAGAGGTCTTTATATCACTTTTACCAGAGATGGGGGCAAGGGAACCATCGGCAAGGGATATTTTCTCTTTCCCAGAGAGAAGGTGATACGAACAAAAAAGGTTGGACAGGCTGGTCATATGGTCTGATGCACCGGAATCAATAATCCAAGGGATTTTATGATTACCTGAAACTGAAGCATGATTTGCAGAAGCACGAATACCTGAGTGAGTGAAAGCCGATGAAGATGATGTACTGTTGGAAGGGTGAGCTGAAGAAACTGTAGCTTCCAAGTGATTTAGGAGCCCCCCATACTTTTCAAAGTCCAACTTCATTGCGGCCAACTGCTCGATGGTTGATTTCTCTTCATTCTCCTTACTTCCCTCTTCAGGTACTGTAGCAACATTAGCAGTCTTGGGTTTTCCCACCTGACTGCCCTTCTTAGAGTTATTGTTGTTCTTAAACCTATCAGGGAGAAGTCCAGGATGAAGCTTCCAGCAGGTGTCCTTTGTATGTCGTGGTTTCTTGCAATATTCACACACCTGCTCTCTTTTTTCAGTAGGGCCCTTTGGTTTCATTCCTACATGTGCAAAATGTTCTGTAGGTGGACTCTGCAACTGAACCTGCGGCCTACTCTCCTCACTACTTATCATAGCATATGCCTGTGAAAGAGTAACCTCATCTCTGGCCAAAATATTTTGTCTAATAGTATCAAACTCAGGGTTGAGTCCAGTGAGAAACTCAAACACCCTATTTCTCTCCACCAGCTTTCTATACATTTCAGCATCCTTTTTACTCTCCCATACCACTGTCTCCATAACATCAATTTCCTGCCATAGGGATTTTAGTATAGAGTAGTAGATTGCTACACTCTTCTCCCCTTGTCTCAGGTTCTTCACATCACTTTTCAATTTATACGCTCTGGCTACATTCAGTTTTTGTGAATAGGTCTCAGTAACACTGTCCCATATCTCCATAGTCGAAGACATCCAGAGATAGTGTTGGCTTATATGGGGTTGCATAGAGTTGACTAACCATCCTATGATAGTATAGTTCTCTTGCATCCATTTTTCAAATTCAAGGTCTGTCTCCTCGGGTTTCACTTTACTGCCTGTGAGATACCCGAGTTTTCCTCTACTACAAACATAGATTTTTATACCAGTCAAAACGAAATCTACTGAGGCAGGTCCAGAAACCGGCACCTGCTTGAACTCACTTCTGTATGTCTCCATTAATCAAACGGAAATCAAAGAACCAGAAATTTTGACTATGTAAACTTACTTGAAGTCAAACCAGAACTCGGGTGCTTGAAAACTAGGGTTTTGCTCCGTCCAGTTGATGGGAGGAAGAGAGAAGATGCAGCTGCACCTACCAGACTAACCCAAACTCTTCCAAACCTGAACCGCCCTCCTTTAGTAGTCACCAGACACCTTCCAAGCACAGAGCGCCACACCCGAGCTTCACCTTTCCTGGTAACCTCGAAAATCTCTAGTCGGCTAGGGTTTCGGGCAGCAGCAGAACAGCATCACTTCTTGGCAAAATCCAGTCAGATCTAAACTCTCCAAACCCTCTACCAACTAGGCAAGTGATTCTCTATACTATAGAGAACCTATCTCTCCATACACTCCCTTGATTTTAGAGTGTACAGGAACAAAGGAAAAAAAAAAGGAAGAGGAACTAAACCTTCTCTGATACCAAGATGTGAATCAGTCCTCTAATATTGAGAGTAAACTTAGGGATTAGCAGAAGAAAACAGGTCTGAATAGTTGTACAAAAGAAGAAGATGGCGAAAAGAAGAGGTGAGAGAAGGAGTCGAATCATTCTCCATTCTCCTCTAACCCTATTTTATTAAGATCTAAAAATTTGATGATGACAAGAATGCCCTTAAGTGGGTGGCCAGCTTGGCAGTTACATAAAGAAAATAAAACAAAAAATAAATAACAGGCCCATTGAGAACAAAATAAAAGATATTACAAGAGAGGATGTTAGGGCCCATTCGGCTGTTAGGGCCCATTCGGCCCAGTCTCTTTACACCGGACATCGTGCTTCTCCATCTTTACCCTGCGATTATCAGTGTTCTTGAGTGTTTCAGCAACCATCTCTCCTTCTGTTGTGAATTCTGGCAAAGTTTGGCTGGATATCTCACTTGGATTAAGGTTCTTTTGAAGAAGTGAGACAGAAAAACTGGGTGTAGGCGGAAGGTGGAAGGGTGAGCATATATGTAACTGGCCCCACTCTGTCTACTATATTGTAGGGTCTATAATAGTGTGGAGCAAGCTTTTGCTAAGCCCACTGGGCCAAGGAGTGTTGCCAATGAGGCTGCAACTCAACAAACCTGTGCTTTTTATCGGCTACAGATGCTGTCCCCTTCTCTTAGCGAAGGTGGGTTACACCCATAATGAGCGCAAAAAGGGCTCATTCCCATGGACCTGTGATATGTAGTGTTGTACCAAAACTGAGCCCAAGGTAACCATTTCACCCATTGGCATGGCTGCTCCCATACAAAGCACTGCAAATATGTTTCCAAGCATAGGTTTATTTCCTCTGTTTATGGGTGATAGCTGGTGCATTGCCTTAATTTGGTGCCCTCGGCCTTGAAGTACTCTCCCCAAAAATCTACTCATGAAGGTGGAGTCTCTATCTGAGATGATAGACTTAGTCCTGAGCACTTACCCACAAATTCCTGAGCTGACTTCCTCATACTGGCCCAGTAGAAGTGTCTTGATATTCTTTTGTAAGTCGTAACACCTCCAAATACCCCTTCAGGTGATTCGTGAAACAACTGCAGTAGTTGAAAGATAAGCTCAGAGTTGGATGGTATATCTAGCCTGCCTTTAAAGAAGAGATCCTGGCCCACCGCCTTATAATGTGTAAGTGCTGAAGGGTCTGCATCCCAAATTCCCAACGAGCCTGTAGCTGGGCCAAGGATGAATTTGCTTGGGCTTCCCTTTTAAGTTTCTCCATCAAAGGATATACTGGGCTGGATACAGACAACTGGGCCAACTCATGTACACGGGATAAAGCATGGGCTGCTCTATTAGCAATTCCAGGTTTATACTCTATAACATAATCAAAGCCTAGGAGTTTGGACATACACTTCTATTCTGGGCTTTGTATTTGCTGTTCTATGAGATGCTTCAAGCTGCTGTGGTCAGTCTTTATAACAAAATGCCCACCAAAGAGGTAGTTCTGCCACTTTTTCACAGCTAGTTTAGTGCTGAAATTCTCACAATATGCAGAAATATTTCTAGAGAGAAAACAAATAAATTTCAATGCCTCAAGATTGTAATGGGATTTCTTTAAACTGTTGGGCACAAAAGCACGAGAGTTCCCAAAATTTCTAGGGTTATTAGTGGGAATTTTTGAAAACTGATTTAATGGATGGATCTGAGATGGGATTCACCAAGATTTGGTAGGGAAGTTATAGAGAGACAATTATTGTAATATGCAAAAATAAACAAGCTTGTTAATTCAAAAATGTTGAAATAATACACAATCATCTGGTATCTGAGATACACACTAGATCACCTCTAACATTATGCTTACATCAGAAAAACCTCTTTCCTTGTTGAGAATACTAGAATTTTTAGTTTTCAAAAAAAAAAACAAAAAAAAAAGTCCAGGTGCATGGTGTTTGTGGTCTCATAACCATAAGTTGATGTCTCCCTATGCCTGATAAAAAGAAAAAGGTTTCTGGTTTCTAAACCTGACCAAACAGAAAATGAATCACCTTTCTGACACCTTTCTAGTCAACCATAAATTGACTAGCCTGCCGAAGTAGCTATTTTGATTTTGAATGTTGAGTATGGTTTAGTGATCACCATGTTTCTCTTATCTTTTTAAGGATCATTGCATTGACCGGGTTTTTTGGTTGGGGCTATTTGGTAATTGTACACCCTTGTATAGCTGTGTCCCATTAGTCTGATAAGGTTCATGGTAAATACACATATGATACGCATATTTTACACATTTTTTAGGTTAACGAAAAACATATTAAGCTATTCAAAGATTCAGAAAATTATAGGAATATTTTTATCACTAAAAAATAAAAATTTATTATTTTCGAAAATGTATCACTACATATGTGAACGTTATAAAATTATATAATATGTGAATAATATGGATTTTCAGAAAATATTGGATAAAAACATGGGAATATTTTATTTTTAATAATGTATTAGATATATGCATATATTTAAATGTTTACATGCAACAGCAGGAATTATTCTGGACCTGCAATATCCAATTGCATAATTCCTGATCCCGAATAGCCGTTTATGCTAAATTTATAATCTCGTTGTTTGACCACACCCACCCAAAAGCTGGTGGCCATCTGTTCTCAAGATTTTTTATCTTGGCTTGGTGCATGAGAAAGGTTGGCCAGCTGTATTTGCTCATACTGCCTACAAATCATGTGACCTATATGGGAATTGTAATTAAAATTTTCAAGATTAAATTGTTTCAGAACATGGCGGAGCTCAAGGTGGAGCAAATCAAGTTATCTGTAAATCTTCCATTTCATACATTCTCAGGCGGGGATGAACATTCGAAATCACTTACGCAGGAGAGCATTAAACCATTGAAAAGTCTTGATGCAGAGGAAGCCGTTGCCAGGCCACCTGGTGTTACTGACTTTGAAGAGATAATTTCACTTGAAATTGATTCAAATGACCAGGAAGATTGTGTCTCGACAGAAGCTAGAAATGGTTTAGAACACAGAGAAAATTATAGTCCTGAAATTTCTGTTTTGGATACAGATATAGGAGGTAAGCCTATGTCTCTTTCTGATTTATCCTCGAGTTTCCAGAAATGCTTCCAGTCAATAAATCAGTCCAGAAACAATAGAGAGATTCAGAGATCCGCAGATTCAGATGGTGGTTTGCAGTTGAAACCATTCGATTATGCAGCAGCAAGAAAACATGTTACATTTGGGGGGGATCAAAAGGAAGAAACTGGAATGGAGGGTGAAGGCAAAAATCTGCATGACTCGGGGGGAAGGAATAACACTAAAGCTACTAGTAGTGTTCCAAAAGAAGAAAGCAATGATTCTCAACAGGCCAGACGACGTCAGGCTTTTCCAGCCACGGGGAACCGTAGTGCAACATTCTGCTAAGCCTTGGTACAAAGGCTACAAGCGTACGGTTTTATTCGTAGAAATGCTATGGAAAATGAGCCTTTGAGTCAATTGGTGCTGAACTGAAGGAGAAATAAAGTAAATAGAAAAGTAAAACGATATACAAAGTTCATCTTTGTACAGCTCAAATTATGATTTCAACTCAGCCTAATTTTTGAAAATTTCGTGTATGGTTATTAGTTCGGCACTTGTCAGTGTAATGCTATTGTTATGGTCATTTAAGCCCATGAAGGCTTTAGCAGCGTATGGTGCATGGTTTTTTGGTTTGATAACTTGAGGTTTTTTGGGCGAAGTGGTGCTAAGCATTACTCGGTCGAATTGTTTTCTCTTGCTACCTTAGTAGAACTAGCCAACGCAACCGGGACAAATCGGTGAGGGGTTAGACTGAAAAAACTATACCGCCTTGTTGGTTAAGGTGGTCTGACAAATCATTAGAATTTTCAGTGTAATCATAGGGAAATAATATAACAAACCCTAATTGATTAACTTGTCTGTTCCGGTTTTAATTTTGTTTTACTTTGTGATCTATGGTTAGGGGTGGATTCAAGCTGAGTTGAGCCGAGTACTTGGCTATTCAAGTTTGGCTTGTAGAAATAGTGTTTCGATTCAAGCTAGAAATTTGAGCTCGAGTTTGGCTTGGCTTGGCTTGTGTTTGATTGCTAAAAGGTAAAAATTATACATATAAAAATGTTTTTTTTATTTTACATTCAAAAAATTAAGAATTATAAAAATTTAATATTATACATAAAAAATAAAAATATTATTATATATAATAAAAAATTAAAAATATTTATTATATATATATATGTATTTATGTATGTAATAAAATTACTTATTTATTATACTAGGCTCGTGAGCCGAGCTCAAATAGGTCATGAGAAGCTCGGCTCATGGCTGCCCTATCAGTGGTGCCTTTGTTCTTATTTATTCCTATTCCTGTTTGGATGTGAATACATTGAAAAGGGCCTCCTCTTGTTTTCATTTCGAGTTTCCATCTAGGTTTTTCTCTGTTTCCTTAAACCTCTTCTAGTTACCGGATGATTTCATTCTCTTCACTCTTTCGTTTTGTTTTATGATTTTTATCTAGAACTCTCCGCTTTTATTGTGTTATCTTCAACTTACTCTGACTTTTTTCAAACCTTTGGAAAAAACTTAATAGATATTTATCTTTGGAATAAAGACGTTTTATCCTTTATGCCGTTCTATCCATCTCCATCCTTGAACAAAATACCAAATATAAGTAATTGTTCATTCACACAATACTAAATCCCTTCCATTGGACCAACAAAACCAATCCTCTAATCTTACATTGCCAATTTTCTATGACTCAAAATTGCATTTGCCATTAAAGGCACCCACCCTGCAAGGTTCAAAACATCGATATGCCCGATATGTTGGTATGGGCGTATCAGGCAAATCGATACTATTTTTTTTTACTTTTTTTCTTTAACCGGTTTAGGGGGGGCCGGTTTAGGTCTCTTCCATCCCCTGAACCAGTCAGACCCTCGATACACCCACTATAGGGGTGTATCAGTGGGGTCTCGGAACGATACATATCGGCCGATACGTGTCGATACTTTGAACCTTGCCACCCTATACTTTTAAGATTCCAACATTTTGCTCATTTTAGTTAATTGAGTTATGGTAAAAGTAAACTTACAAGATTACCCACCCATCCAAGACAAAATCAATGACCAAAATAACAAATATGACCATTTCAAGGCATAGCTTGAGGGTTCTAGATATCACCAAGAATAGTGAGATTTGAGAATCAAAGAGTTGGATCTCAGGGCTTGTTCATTTCTTGTTTAACTCTTATCTCTTGAGAGGAATATTACAACTTTAATAGGAAAATGGACATTCATTTCCTCTTATATCTTAATGAGGAATTTTACATTTTTTTCTTAGTGGAAAATTTTATTTTGTTTTCCAATGATACCACCAAAACACAAACCATCCTTATAACTCAAGGAATAATAAATTCTAATTATTATTAACAAAAATAACTAATTCAATATTCAGTTACTCAATAATAAAACTAATAAATTATTTATATTTAATAATATTTTAATTAACTAAATTAGTAATTACTTAATTAATGATATTCATTAGTATTATAAACTAATAATTATAATACTAATATTAATAAATTATTAATTATAATATAATTTTTAATTTTAATAATATAAAATTATTAATATTAGAATATTAATAATACTATAATATTATTAATAATAGGTAAAATTCTCAATTACTACCCTATACTTTGGGCCTATTGCTACTTTGGTCCCCGAACTTTAAAATGCGACAATTCAGTACCCGAGTTTTCAATTAGATGTTAACTTATCGTTAAGTGACATTTGAAAAGACACAAATGCCATTCAAGTGTCATTTAATTTTCTTTATCAACCATCTAAACGTTGACAAAAAATTAACAACCCCAAATCCTTACTTGTTCCATTCAAGAAAGTTGGGGTCACGTTTGTGTGGGCATTCTCGTGACCCCAACTTTCTTGAATAGAAGAGGCAAGGATTCGGGACTATTAATTTTTTGTCAATGTTTGGATAGTTGATAAAGAAAATTAGATGACACTCGAAGGGCATTTTTGTCTTTTTCAAATGTCACTTAATGGTTGGTTAACAGCTAGTGAACTGTAGGTACTGGATTGTCATGTTTGAAAGTTCAAATATTGAATTGTCGCATTTTAAAGTTCGAGGACCAAAGTGACACTAGGCCCAAAGTATAGGGTACTAATCGGCAATTTACCCTTAATAATATTATGATAATACAATATAATATTAAAATTAATCTATATATATATATATATATATATATATATTAAAACAAAGCGGTCAAGAAATTTTCTCGTTTTTTTGAATTTTTAATTTTTTTATTCAATGTCATTTTTGAAACAACCAATGAGATGCAATTTCCCAATAACCTAAATAATATCTTCTCCTAAACTACCTCCCCCACTTTCTCTAAAATTATCTCTAATTCCTATTTATCTTCTAAATTATCTATAATTAATTCCTATTTATCTCCAAAATTATCTCTAATTTAGTAGAGAATTTCTCTCCTAATTTCTCTCTAATTCCTATTTAATCTCTCCCCTACTTTTTATCCATATTTATCTAAACAAAGTTTGGATTAAAAAATTTAAGAATTATTTAAATATTATAAAAAATTATATAATAACTTTAAAATATTTATTAAAAAACAAAAAATAATTTTATATTTTTACAAAATATATCACAAAATCATGTACTAACAATTTATTTTGTTTTGTTATTTAACAGAAAACTTTCAATAATTATTGGAGATTAAATTACTATTATTGAAATTCTTAAATTTAATTTATTGTACTTATTGTATTTTAGTTATAAGTTATTGATTAATATTTATTAGATATTAAACTATTATTTCAAATTATACTATTTATTGACTAAGTTAATATATTTTTAGTACTTATTGTATTTTTTAATTTCTATAATTATTGTATTTTTCATTATCAATATATTTTCAATAATCATGTATTTTTGCTATAAATTTGCAATAATTATTGGAAATTATACTATTGTTATTTATCAGAGATAAGACTATTAATTTAGCTAAAATCATGAGTGTTCATGTGTTGGTTTGGTTCGGCTGTAAGCTATTTGGCCAACCAAATTGATCTGGTCAAGTTATGGAGTTGGTCAGTTGAAACCGACTAACCTTTTGTTAAAACCGACCCGCTCAAGTTGTATCGGTATGGGTCGATTTTTTGGTTTCATCAGTTTGATGAATAAACCTAATTGAAATTAATTATTGTTAATTTTGTATTATAGAAACTATATTAAAAGTAGTATATAAAATATGATTACTTATTAATTATTTAAAAAGTTGACAATATAAAACAATTGTATACTCTTATGTGTTTCTATTAGGGTCATTTGCTAGAACACACCTTTAGGGATGGCAATTTTCCCCATCCCCAACGGGAACTCGACTTCCTTGACCCGATGGGGCTGGGAATGGGGATTGTTTTGGCAGGGCAGGGGGCGGGGATGGGGATTAATAGGAATCCCCGGTCGAAGTCAAGGTCGGGGATGGGGATTGAGGTCCCCGCCCCGCTCCAACCCCAATATATATATATATATATATATATATATATATATATATATATATATATATATGTGTGTGTGTGTGTGTGTGTGTGTGTTATTTATATTAAATATAATATTATATTATTTACTAGCGGGGACCCGTGCGATGCACGGGATTAATTAAGCGAAAGATAAATAATAGAAAATGTCATTTACTAAAATACCCCTTATAGTTTCATGGATTTACTAAAATCTATCCTATATTTAGCATTTTACTAAAACACCACTTATAATTTGCAATGGATTTAATCAATCTTCCATTAGAAGACAGTGGAAAATGACAGTTTTGGCCCTAATGTTCATTTAAATAAATTTAATTAAAAGAAAATACAAATAAAAATACCATTTTTGCCCTTAATAAGACACATGCAACCACTCCCTACAGGGAACCCATCCCCGTCGGAGATCGGGGATGGGGGTTAATTTTAGAATCGGGTTCAAGGACGGGGAATATGATTCCTGTCCCGTTGACATTCCTACACACCTTATAGTTTTACATATTTATAATTTACTTAAACATGCCTTATAGTTTTCATTTTACTAAAACATCCCATATATTTTACAACTTATTTACTTAATCAATCTTTCATTAAGGAGTGTTTGTTTTGCCATTAGGCCCATTACTTTTTATTACAAAAATACCCTTAACACTTTTTTGTATAAAAAACAAAATCGACCAAATATAGCCAGTAGAGTGGTTGTCTATGTCTTATCAAGGGTGAAAATGGTATTTTTATTTTTATTTTCTTTTAATTAAATTTATTTAAATGAACATTAGGGTCAACACTGTCATTTTCCACTATCATCTAATGGAAGATTGATTAAATCCATTGCAAATTATAAGTGGTGTTTTAGTAAAATGCTAACTATAGGGTAGCTTTTAGTAAATCCATGAAACTATAAGGGGATTTTAGTAAATGACATTTTCTATTATTTAACTTTGCTTAATAAATCTCGTGCATCGAACGGGTCCCTGCTAGTATTATATTATAATTTGAGTTGTACAAAGATGAACTTTGTATGGCCCATACCTCAGGTGGTGCTTGGCTTGGGTATTTAAGTCCATACCGATATGACGTGGCCTGACAAAGCGGACCATGTTGGCATAGGCCCATGGCCTAGC